GTGAAAGTTATTACTTGGTGCAATTCAGGAGACCCAGGTTTGATCCCTGGATCGGGAAGATTCCTTGGAGAAGGAAATGGCAACCCACTCCAGTATTCTTGTCTGGAAAACCCCATGGGCGGAGGAGCCTGACAGTCTACAGTGCATGGAGTCGCAAAGAGTCAGACACGACTGAGCGACTTCACTTCTTTCTTATCCTTTTGTTCTGTTCTTCAAGGTCCTTTAGTCACGTAGCTGGTTTGTCAGTATATTAGTCAAGCCGCGGTTGTAATGTCAACTCTTCTGTGATGCCCTCTTTGCTCATCTTTGGTTGAGTGGCCCACTCCTTGCGTTGGGCCTCTACTTTATAAAATATTGGGTTGGAGCAATGAGATTTGAAAAACCTCTGCTGCCGTAGTCCCTGTGAGAATTTTGGAAGACTGTTTCCTTTTATATTTTTATGATACCTTCTAAAATATTTTTTAATAACTTTTTTTAGCTGTGCTGTCTTCATTGCTGCGTGTGGGCTTTCTCCAGTTGCAGCGAGTGGGTCTACTGCCTGTTTGCCGTGTGCGGGCTTCTCACTGTAGTAGCTTCTCTTGTTGAGGAGTCTGGGCTCTAGGGGGTGTGGGCTTTAGCGATTGTGGCTTGAGGGTTCAGTAGTTGTGGCACACAAACATATTGCCCTTTGGCATGTGGGATTTTAGTTCCCGGACCGAGGATTGAATCTGTGTCCCCTGCATTGGCTGGCAGATTCTTAACCGCTATACCACCAGGCAAGTCCCAGCATCTAAAATTTTTATATAAAAATTTAAATAATTGCAAAGGGCATAATTTCTGACATTTTGTAAATAATGGAATTTTAAAATAAACATTCTTTTAGATGTATCCAACAGAATCTAAATACTATAACGACAATCCTTTTTTTAAAATGTATTTTAATTGGAATATAATTGCTTTCCAATGTTGTGTTGGTCTCTGCTGCACAACAGCGTGACTCAACTATGAGTATACATATATCCCCTCTCTCTCCAGCCTGCTTCCCACCTGCCTCCCCCTCAGGTCTTCCCAGAACACCAGGCTGATCTCCCTGTTCTACACAGCAGCCTCCCGCTAGCTGTCTGTTTTATGCATGACAGTGTGTGTGTGTCAGTGCTAACTCTCTTCTTGCCTCCCTGTGCGCACACGTCCATTCTCCATGTCTGCATCTCTATTCCTGCACTGCAAATAGGTTCGTCAGTACCATTTTTCTAGAAAAAATGGTGCTAATAATCCATTTTTTAAAAACCATATGCGCATGCTACCATTGAGGAAAATTGGGAAAACAGTACCAGGTCTCTGTATTATTTCTTACAGCTACATATGAATCTTCAGTTGTCTTGAAATAGAAAGTTTACTTAAAAATAAAATTCTGATCTTGATTTTAAAGTATTTGTTTAAGGTCTTCTTTGTGTTTTCGTTCATTCAATAAATTTTAATTATGTATTGGAATGCTGTTTTAATGTCTGATTGCTTGATAAATACAATGAGTTGAAATATTTACTGAATGTGTCTATTAAATAGATATCTGAGTTTATTCCATAAATGTGTTTTTTAATTCTATAAGGTCAGTGGAAAGTAAATAGACTTTAGATGGTTCACCATGAAACCTAACTATCTGAAATAGTCTTTTGATAGGAAAATGCAATCTTTGTAGAAAGTGATGCAGATAGCATTTTTAGGTGTGAGCAAGAATCTCATCTTCCTGTGACTGATATAAGACAGCCATACTTAAACATCATCCCTCTCTTCCATGAGTGTGTGCCCTTACATTTCAAAAGAATGTCAAAGAAAGCATGTGTGTGTGTGTGTGTGTGTGTGTGTGTGTGTTTTCATTCAGCTAAATGTATCCTGTCAAATTTAGGAAATTTGGAGTAATCTCAAGAGAGTCTTGCTGTCTTGTGCTATGGATAATGTGGGACATTCTTGGGGGGTATTCATGAAAATAACTCATACTCATCTGTAGAGGATGGATATGATAATTTTATCACATTCAGCAGAGAAAAGGAGAAAGTAACTGGTAAGCATCAAAAGAGAAGATAAAGTGAGAAGATGTAGAAGGGCACTAACATTTTTTAAGGCTCTGCTATATTTGGTTTGCACATGTCATTTCATTTAAGTACAGAGAAAAATTTCCTGTGGAAGACTGCATTAACTGGGAAATACAGAGGGAAAAAGAATTAGTTTTGTATATTGTACATTATCTTGTCGGGGGCAAGATACAAGATACACAAAGATGTTGCTTCTGATGTTTCTCCCTTTTGACCACTAGGTGGTGACATTGTATAAAGACAGCTTGGTTGCTGGCATGCCAGTCAAAACATGCATGACTTGGTGTTAGATAACTCTATGTAAAAACTAAGCCCAAGTGTATCACTTAATTTTTTTAATTATTAGTCACTCAGCTTTGTAACACATTCATGGTGATTTTATTGACTTTCCCATTTTATATTTAATTTACATTGTGTACTCTACCCTGAAGTATTTTATAAATACTTCTATGTACCTAACATACCTAGTAATGATAAACTACAGTTGATAAGCAGGTATACAGATGAAAAAAATGCCATGACCTCCAAAAAATTCACATACCAAAACAAAATAATTTATATAAAGGATGCATATTAAGAAACACAGAATATATTAAGCAATAGAAACATGTTAATAAATAAGTTTGTATTTTATTTACTCTCTTACTGCTTATGGCATAGGTGTACATGCCCATTTAGGATTAAGGAAGAAGGGGACACCCAGAAGGTCCTCTCATTTCTGAATAACCCTCCCATATTACTGGGTAAGGGTAACCTATATCCCAAGGATCCTCCATACTTTCCTTTCTGTGCCCCACCACCAACTCCCCATTATTTTCAATTCAAAACAGTTGGTGAGAAGTATATTTTTCATTATGACTTAAAATGGCATAGTACTTTATCTCACAGTTGAAGTTGCTGCCTATTGAATTAGAGGGGTCTCTGTTATTGTATTGAAGGAAACTAGGCCCCTTGTATCCCCAGGTCAGAATGCTAAATGAACTTTTTTCATAGAAAGTATTTTTTGTGATAGTTAAATATAGCTAAAATAGTATTATATGAAGCCTTAATTTAAAAAATCAAACTTGTCCTTTTAGGGGTTTTGGTCTCAGACTTCTCTATTTTTTTTCCCTCCAGAGTAAATGATCTAGAAAAGCATTTTCTCTTCTGCAAATGAACATTTTCAAGAGATCATCCTTTTTTTTTTAAAACATTTTTTTTCCTGGAGACTTAGCTCATTTTCTCTAGCTTGAGGTGGACTGTTTCTCCACTGTATTCTGATAGACCTTTTTAAAGATCCAGTTTCACATTATGCTAATAGTGTATGGACATGGGGAACTTCCCTGGTGGTCCAGCAGCTAAGGGCTCCCAATGCAGGGGGCCCAGGTTCAGTCCCTGGTGGGGAAACTAGATCCCACATGCTGCAGCGAAGAGTTCGCTTGCTGCAACTGGAAGGTCCTGCATGCCACAACTAAAGATCAGAAATCACGTGTATTGCAACTAAGAAGCACAGCCAAATAAATAAATGAAAATAAATACAGTTTTAAACTGTATAGATTTTAATCATTTCAGCTATACTGTACATGTACTGAACACAGTTTCTTGCTTATCCTTGTTATCTGTTATAAACAGAATCTTGCCCAATACCTTGCATTTAGTAGATTCTCAAATACATCAAATGCATAAGGGAATCTTAGATGGTAAATGCCACAGGATTGTGAAGTGAGTTAATTACCACTGACTGGGAAATAACTTTTTATAGGGTAAAAGTTATTGGCTTTTAAGATAGGAAACCTCCTATGGCCAGTCACTTTAATTTCTGATAAATGGAAGCCATGGACTTACATTTATCAAAAATACTAGTTATAATTTTTGGAACTCAAATTGCATTCTTTTATGCCTGTTTGGAAAATTAAGGCCACATGTCGGACAGTTTCATTATTAATATTCCAAATTACCGATCCTTTGAGGACCTCATTGAAACTACCCACCCGCCTGTTCCCCTTGCTCCTTGCCAACACATTCATAAAAATGTATTATGCATTGGCATACATAATTCTGTATACTGTTTTAGAGGACTCATAGACCTCATGTCAAGAACTTCTGCTTTAGATTCTGCAGTAGATTACAGCTTACTAGTTGAAGATGTGGCTTGATATAATAGAAAAGTAGAAAAATGGACTATCTACAAAATCAGTTCATCTGAGTGAGTTCTACCTCTTATTCTACCTTTGCTAAATATGATGCTATTTGACAGGTCATATAATGTCTCCATACTTGTTTATCTGTGGAGTGAAGCTGTCGGATAAGAGTAAGTGAGTTAGTACACTGACATGCTTAGAGTAGTACTAGGTGTATAGTATGCTTCCCAGTCTTTATTTGTATTATCTCATGAAGGATTTCAGAATTTTGTGATGCTGTCATTATCATTCCTCTAAGAAAATTACTTTGGTGTGCATGTATGTGTGTGTTGTGTGTTGTGTGTGTATTTGTGTATAATTTTAAAAACTTGGATAGCAACCAACTTATTCTGTTTTTCTGTAACAGAAGTAGTAAGTCTGTTCCGATCCTTTGCTACCTCTATACTGGCAATGGAAAATGCCCTTCTCACTGCAGTGCTACAATTGAACATTCTGAGTCAGAGGATATATGTGCCTGTCTGTGTAAAAGCAACTGGGGAGAAAAAGAGCATTGAGAAAATCTACTCACGATGTTTTATTAGTGTACTGGTATAACTTGTTAAAGCAGATGAAGCTTTTCTCTATAGTTGCTAAGAACCTTAGTTTTTTCAGAGATTGGATGTATTGTCTTACTGAAAATCCACTATTGTTCATGGAAAATTCTTTATAAAAACAGATTCCATTAATGTTTACAGCAAACAGATTGTATTAAAAATATGTAACTTTTCTGTGTTACCTATTAAGACAAAAACTTTTTTTTAACTCCAATTAGGGAAGAAGACAAAGACATATTTGATTACTGCAGGGAAAACAACATTGACCATGTAACCAAAGTCATCAAAACAAAAAACATGGATGTGAATATGAAGGATGCAGAGGTATGAAACAAGTCTATTGTCCTTTGCCCAGTAACTATATTTCTAGAAAACTGTCAAAATCTTGGTCAATCCAATTATTTCAATGCAGGTCCACTATTTAAAGAAATCCTATGCTAAATTATTTTGTAAAATATATTACTTATTGATTTGTTTTGTGAATAAAGCTGTTCACATATTGAGCTTAAACTGTCCCTGAATTATAGTTGTTAAAAAAAGAGGCAAAATTTGGTGATCACTTTGAATCATTTTTCCTTTTTTTGAATCATTTTTCTCATTCTGTGATAATGCGGTAAAGATGATTGAAATGACCATCTTCAATCAAAGGTGGTGCATGTTAGGAAGAGGATATGCGGTGATCATGGATAATGTGTAGAGTAGATAATTGACTTCTGTATTAATTGAGAGCTCTCTGTACAGGTTAGCCTTTAATGTTATCTCACTTTTAAGCAACATCTTTTCCTGTAATATGTTTTTATGACATCTGGCACTGAAAATGTAAGACTCTAATTCTACAGTAAAGGAGGACCAGTGATACTGGTCCCATCTCTCTCTCCTCACTCTCTTCAGTTTAGTTCAGTTCAGTTGCGTCCGACTCTTTGCGACCCCATGAATCGCAGCACCCCAGGCCTCCCTGTCCATCACCAACTCCCCCAGTTTACTCAAACTCATGTCCATCGAGTTGGTGATGCCATCCAGCCATCTCATCCTCTGTCGTCCCCTTCTTCTCCTGCCCCCAATCCCTCCCAGCATCAGGGTCTTTTCCAATGAGTCAAATCTTTTTTTTTTTTTTTTTCCCATTTATTTTTATTAGTTGGAGGCTAATTACTTTACAACATTGCAGTGGTTTTTGTCATACATTGACATGAATCAGCCATGGATTTACATGTATTCCCCATCCCGGTCCCCCCTCCCACCTCCTTCTCCACCCAGTCCCTCTGGGTCTTCCCAGTGCACCAGGCCCGAGCACTTGACTCATGCATCCAACCTGGGCTGGTGATCTGTTTCACCCTAGATAATATACATGTTTCGATGCTGTTCTCTTGAAACATCCCACCCTCACCTTCTCCCACAGAGTCCACAAGTCTGTTCTATACATCTGAGTCTCTTTTTCTGTTTTGCATATAGGGTTATCGTTACCATCTTTCTAAATTCCATATATATGTGTTAGTATACTGTAATGGTCTTTATCTTTCTGGCTTGCTTCGCTCTGTATAATGGGCTCCAGTTTCATCCATCTCATTAGAACTGATTCAAATGAATTCTTTTTAATGGCTGAGTAATATTCCATGGTGTATATGTACCACAGCTTCCTCATCCATTCGTCTGCTGATGGGCATCTAGGTTGCTTCCATGTCCTGGCTATTATAAACAGTGCTGCGATGGACATTGGGGTGCACATGTCTCTTTCAGATCTGGTTTCCTCGGTGTGTATGCCCAGAAGTGGGATTGCTGGGTCATATGGCAGTTCTATTTCCAGCTTTTTAAGAAATCTCCACACTGTTTTCCATAGTGGCTGTACTAATTTGCGTTCCCACCAACAGTATAAGAGGGTTCCCTTTTCTCCACACCCTCTCCAGCATTATTGCTTGTAGACTTTTGGATAGCAGCCATCCTGACTGGTGTGTAATGGTACCTCATTGTGGTTTTGATTTGCATTTCTCTGATAATGAGTGATGTTGAGCATCTTTTCATGTGTTTGTTAGCCATCTGTATGTCTTCCTTGGAGAAATGTCTGTTTAGTTCTTTGGCCCGTTTTTTGATTGGGTCATTTATTTTTCTGGAGTTGAGCTGGAGGAGTTGCTTGTATATTTTTGAGATTAATCCTTTGTCTGTTGCTTCGTTTGCTATTATTTTCTCCCAATCTGAGGGCTGTCTTTTCACCTTGCTTATAGTTTCCTTTGTTGTGCAAAAGCTTTTAAGTTTCATTAGGTCCCATTTGTTTATTTTTGCTTTTGTTTCTAAAATTCTGGGATGTGGGTCATAGAGGATCCTGCTGTGATTTATGTCGGAGAGTGTTTTGCCTATGTTCTCCTCTAGGAGTTTTATAGTTTCTGGTCTTACATTTAGATCTTTAATCCATCTTGAGTTTATTTTTGTGTATGGTGTTAGAAAGTGTTCTAGTTTCATTCTTTTACAGGTGGTTGACCAGTTTTCCCAGCACCACTTGTTAAAGAGGTTGTCTTTTTTCCATTGTATATCCTTGCCTCCTTTGTCAAAGATAAGGTGACCATAGGTTCGTGGATTTATCTCTGGGCTTTCTATTCTGTTCCATTGATCTATATTTCTGTCTTTGTGCCAGTACCATACTGTCTCGATGACTGTGGCTTTCTAGTAGAGTATGAAGTCAGGCAGGTTGATTCCTCCAGTTCCATTCTTCTTTCTCAAGGTTACTTTGGCTATTCGAGGTTTTTTGTATTTCCATACAATCCAATGAGTCAAATTCTTTGCATGAGATGGCCAAAGTATTGGAGTTTCGGCTTCAGCATCAGTCCTTCCAATGAACACCCAGGACTGATCTCCTTTAGGATGGACTGGTTGGATCTCCTTGCAGTCCAAGGGACTCTCAAGAGTCTTCTCCAACACCACAGTTCAAAAGCATCAATTTTTTGGCACTCAGCTTTCTTCACAGTCCAACTCTCACATCCATACATGACCACTGGAAAAACCATAGCCTTGACTAGATGGACCTTTGTTGGCAAAGTAATGTCTCTGCTTTTTAATATGCTATCTAGGTTGGTAGGTTGGCCTCACTCTCAACAAAAGTTATTATCACAGCGCTTAGTTTCAGTTTTCTTCTTGAATCTCTAGTGTATCAATGTTTTTATTATTGTTACAAATTATAGTATAATTATGTAATATAGTCAATTATAATATGGTTATAATGTAACTATATTATTATGACTGTAAATATTGTTTGCTCAGCTATGGACTGTGCTATATGTATTAGTCAATTTTTTGCTATAGCAAAAAAAGAAAAATTTCAGTAGCTAACAACATTTATTTATTGTTCATGTTTCAAAAGACTTGGAACCTGTTGAGACTCTGCTGGGTTCTGCTAGCCTTGTCAGTGCTCAGTTCATCTTCATTTCACCTTTTCTCATTTGAGATCTAATCCCAATGGATAGACCCTAGGTGGGGCAGACAAAACCAGATCCCACAAATACATTTAAAGCTTTCCTTTACTCTAGTGTGTGTCATATCTCCCTGTTTTCCTTTGTCTAAAACAAGTCACAAGGCCAAGACCCAGGTCAGTATAATAGGAAGTCTGCTCTGATTACAGGGACGCAAGGCAAGGGTAAAAAGTGAATGAATAAATTATGTAATCATGAATAATGCAATCTACATTCCATGGTACAACGTTTTGTTTTTCTTAAAGTTAATAGTAGCCTCTCTCTTTGCTTTTACACTTTTCTTCCTATTGACTCTTCCCTCAGTTTGCCCAAGAGGTCTTCTCATGCAGTCAATCCCATGTTTTTCCTTTTTTTTCTTTAGGAGTATCCCTCTGGAACCTTCCTTCCTTAGTTCCTCCTCCTTCATCTCTAGTCTGGACTGGTTGCTTTCTCAGCCTCTCGCACAGATGTCATTCTAGCATTACGTTTTACCATTGTCCTCAGAATTCTCTTCCCCTTTCTTCTGGATTTTTCTGTTTTCTGGATCCTAGGTCTTCACCTTTTATTGTTTACTTTTGTTTTGTTGGAGTGTCTCCTCCTCTAGCTTCCTCTTTTATTTATTTCCTGGTTTTGAAGGAACATTTCCTTCAGTAGCTTCCTGGGAAAGGTAAATGTTTTGAGACCTTCCTTGTTGAAAATGTTTCTGTCAGAGCTCTTGACATATCCCACATGCTCAATAAAGATTTGATTAATTGTGAATTAATGAATGATAGAATGAATGAATAAGCAGAAGCAGTATAGTATAATGGTGATGAGCTGGACTGCCTGGGTTCAAGGGCTAGTACTGTCACTTCCTAGCTATATAAACTTTGTCCAGTTTATTCTGTCTCAGTTTCCTAATGTGTAAAATGAGAATAGTACCTGTGTCAGAAATATTGTGAGTATTAAATGAGTTAATGTATATAAAGGACTTAAATATTACCTGAAACACATACACCAAGACATCAATAAATGTCTTGATTATCCTTAGTGAATAATATGAATAAAGGATGATGATATAATGAAGAAATCACTTAATTCTTTTTTCTAAGACTTTAATTTTTTTTTAAGAGCAGAGCAGTTTTAGGTTTTATAATAAACTTGAGAGGAAGGTAGACATGGTACATTTTTTTTTTAAAACCCAGGATGTACATTGATACATCATAATCACCCAAAGTCCATAATTTACTTTAGGGCTCACTCTTGGTGCTGTACATCCTATGTATCTGGATAGATGTGTAATGACATATTCTTCATTACAGTATCATATAGAGTATTTTCATGACCCTAAAAATCCTATGTGCTTGCCTATTTGTACCTCCTGCTCCCCCGGCAACAACTGATCTTTTTCTTGTCTCCATAGTTTTGCCTTTCCCAAAATGCCATATAGTTGGAATCATATGATATGTAGTCTCTTCAGATTGGCTTCTTTCAGTTAGTAATATACAGTTGAGTTTCCTCCATATCTTTTGATGGTTTGATAGCTCATTTTCTTTTTTTGTTGTTATTCAGTTGCTCAGTCATGTCAGACTCTTTGTGGCCCCATGGACTGCAGCACTCCAGGCTCCCCTGTCCTTCACTATCCCCTGAGTTTGCTCAAACTCATGTCCATTGAGTCAGTGATGCCATCCAACCATCTCATCCTCTGTTGCCCCCTTCTACTACCCTCAATTTTCCCCAGCATCGGGGTCTTTTCCAGTGAGTCGGCTCTTAGCATCAGGTAGCCTGAGTATTGGAGCTTCAGCTTCAGCATCAGTCCTTCCAATGAATATTCAGGGTTGGTTCCTTTAGGATGGACTGGTTGGATCTTTTTGCAGTCCAAGGGACTCTCAAGAGTCTTCTCCAGCCCCA